AAAACAGTGATATATCTACACAATGGAATACCATGCTACTACGCTTACCATTTGCAATAGCATAGATGGACCTGGACAGCATCATGCTAAGCGAAATAAGCCAGTAGGAGAAAGATAAATATTACATGATTTCACTCATTTGTAGAATATAATGAACAAGATAAAATGATGAACAAAAATAGAGCCAGAGGAAAAAATATTTTGGAATATAATATAATAGAAGTAATCCTGTTATTTGCAGATTTTTAATACTTCCTATAACTTTTGTGACATTATACTATATTAATGCAATTTTGGTAATATTATATTTAAAAACACTTCCTTGAAATATTGATGTTTATTGCAAGTAATATTATTATATTTAAAATCGTTTTTCTTGAAAAAATGAAACTACACCACCAACTTACACCATATACAAGAATAAATTCAAAATGGATAAAACACCTAAATGTAAGTTGTGAAACCATAAAAATCCTAAAAGAAACCATAAGCAGCAAAATCTCAAATGTCTCTCATAGCAATATGTTTAAGGATACATCTCCTTGGGCAAAGGAAACTAAGGAGAAAATAAACAAATGGGACTACATAAAAACAAAAGGCTTCTGCACAGCAAAAGAAACCAACAACAAAATGAAAAGAGAACCCACTGTATGGGAAAGCTCACTGTATTTGGCAATGATACATGCAATAAAGAGTTAATATCCAAAATATAGAAAGAACTTATACAACTTAACAAAAGAACGACAAACAATCCAATTAAAAAATGGGCAAAGATCCTAAATAGGCACTACTCCAAAGTGGACATATAGATGGCCAAGAGACATAAAAAATGCTCAAATCAACTTAAAATGACAATGAGGTATCACCTCACACCTGTCAGAATTGCTCCATCAATAAATCAACAAATGACAAGTGCTAATGAGGATGTGGAGAAAAAGGAACCCTAGTACACTGCTGGTGGGAATGCAGACTGGTATAGCCACTGTGGAAAACAGTATGGAGTTTCCTCAAAACATTAAATCTGGAACTGCCATTTGACCCAGTGATCTGACTTCTAGGAATATATCTTAAGAAACCTGAAACTCCAGAAAGAATGTATGCACCCTTATGTTCATAGCAGCACAACTTACAATAGCTAAGGTCTGGAAACAGCCTAAGTGCCCATCAGTAGATGAGTGGATAAAAAAACTGTGGTATATTCACCGTGGAATACTATGCAGTAGTAAAAAAGAAGAATCTCTTATCCTTTGAGACAGTATGGAAGGACCTGGAGAGTATCATGCTAAGTGAAATAAGTCAGTCAGACAAAGAAAAGCATTACATGATCTCACTCATATATAGAATCTAATTAAATAAACTGATGAATAGAGCGAATGCGGATCCAGGAACATGGAAGCATGGAATAGAGTCCGGAATCTCAGAGGGAAGGCGGAAGAGAGTGGGTGGGAGCTAATCAAAGGAAGACCTTGTATGCATATAGGCATAATCCATGGATGGAGACAGTGGGATGGTGAGGGCCTGGGGTGGGTGTTGGGAGTTGGCTGGAGGTTGTTGATGGGGCAAAAAAGGGGACATATGTAATACTTTCAACAACAATAATAATAATAAAGATCTTAAGTAAAGTTATCTGGAAAGAAATCAACAAGTTCAATCTATTGGGGGAAGGAAGTGAGAACTTCTTAGAAAATTGACTTAACCGGTTGGCTCAGTTGTTTGGAGCGTCTTCCCCTAAATAAAAAGGTTTCAGGTCAAATTTCCGGTCATGGCACATACATGGCTTTCAGGTTGGATCTGGTCAGGGCTCATAGGGAGAGAACTCATCGATGTTTCTCTCTCACATGGATGTTTCTCTCTCTCCCTCTAAAATCAGCAAACATATCTTCTGGTGAGGATTAAAAAAAAAGTAAGTTTTAGACTAATGAAAACTTAGTTCAATTGGTAGCTTTGCATTGGGAAGAGTAACTCAAAAACTATTAAATAAATGGCAGGCCACACTTCCACAATGTCTGGATTATGTTCTCTGTTTAACTCTACTGAATTTTAAATAAAGTGTAAGGTATTGTCAATATTTTAATATATGCTAATATTTGCTGAAGGAAAATTAACATTTTCGGGTTTTGGATAGAGTTGTAAAAGGTTTTCCACATTCTTAAATATGGCTTCATTGCATTCAGTTAAATTTTGTTCAAAAAGACACATTTCTGATCTTAAAATGAAAATCAAGGAAAAAAATATTGCTCCCCATAATTGTGCTCACTGCAAACTGCTGATGTGTGCCTTTATATGGTGAGAGGCATGAAAACCCTCTCACCATATATGCACCAGCTATTTTTATAACGTAGCATGGGTACTCTTTGTTCTTATTTTGATGCTATCTCCTTAGAAAATCAGACCCATTCATTCCTTGACTCCTGCAAGTTCAATTGGCAGAAGATTGTAAAATTATAAAAGAAAGATATGACTTAACCATGCCAGGTCATTCACTCAATCCAGAAAATATCCAGAACTGCTGTAATTCCACAACCTTTCCCTGTATTCCTCAAGACCAGAAGACACCAAAATACGAGAGGGCCAGACGACCTGATTCTTCCATATATTCAGTTAGCACACCCTGCAGCTAATGTGTCAGAGGCAGCGCGTGGAGAGACCGTCTTTCTCTTTGGGAAACCATTCAACTTCTTTTGTTAAGCAACGCTGTGCGTGTTTCACGTCCTGCCTTCTTCCTATCCTCCTGGTCCTGGAGTCAGGAATGAGGACACTCTCAGGGACCCTGGGTCGGGGTTTCACCCTCGCCTCAGCAGCAGAGAGCATCCTAGCCTGGAATTCCCTGGGCGCGTGCCGCTGTCCCTCCCTGGGGGTCCAAACAGCTAGCATTACACCCATCGCCATGATGGAAAAAAAGGCCTGGCGACCCCCCAGGGACCTACCACAGATGAGGGCTCCATTGTCATGTCCCCACCTAGAAGGGAGGAGGCCCCAGAAACACGCTCTCCTCCGGAGGTCGTGCCATAGTGACCCAGGCGCACTAAGGGAAAAGGGATGCTGCGAGCATCCCCCAATCAGGTGGTTGCGGGACCAAGGGACCAAGGAACTGGGCTTGGCCTCTAGCTGGCTGCCTTTCTCCACCTCCCACCCTCCCACTCCCCTTCCCGGCGCCGCCCCGCCCCCAGCGGCGCCCGGGCCGGGGGTCTGGCTGGTCAGCGCAGGCGCGTCGGTCCCCCGGCCACCGCGCCCTCGGAGGGGATGCGCTCCGGCCAGAGCGCCCGGGCGCCAGTGTGCGCGCCGGCGGAGGCGGGAGGGATGCTCCCATTCGGCCGCTAGACGCGGAGTGAGCAAGCACCCCCCTGTGACCACCTAGACTCCATTTTATTTGCACGGAAGCTGCGGGTGGGAGGGGGGCCGGTCGCAGGGCGGGGTTCCTCCCGGCGGGAGGTTGCGGAGGGGGGGGGGGGAGAGGGGGTGAGCGAGACCGTTAGCCTGGAGCACCAGGAGACCGTCCTGGCAGCGCCCGGCCGCCGCCGAGCCGCAATAAAAGCCTCTGGCGGCTTCCCGCCCAGCCAGCCCCGCTCTGATTGGCCGCCGCGGGAGGCACCGGGCGGCGGGGGGCGGCGGCCGGGCGCTGCTCCCGGCCTCCCGGGGAGGGGGCGTGCGGGGTGCTCTCGGGCCCGCCCCGCTCTCCCCGGCCTGGCTCCGCGGTGGCGGGCTCGGGGCAGTTCCAGCGGCACCTGGCACTCCATCCTCTGGGCTTTCCGAGGGCATTTCCCCGCACACGCCCCCCGCCCGGGATGCCGCCCACCCCACCCAGCTCTCTGCGGCGCCCGCTCCTTTCTTCCCTCTCCCCGTCCATCAGCGCCCCAGAGCAAACCTTGGGCTGGGGAGGGAGAAGGAGGGGCTGGAGGGAAGGGTGGGCACGAACACGAGAGTCTTCCAGGGGGGCCAGAAGGAAACACCCCCAATGAAAGGACCCCTCCTCCCGGCCGCGGAGGTTCGCAGGGCGGCGGCGCAGCCCCCTCCCCGCCCGCGGCAGCATAGCTACTGTCTTCCTCCTCCCCAGCTCCCTATTGTTCGCACTTCGCAGGGACCAGGAGCCTCGCCCGAAGAATGGAGAGACTGGGGCGAGACGCCGCGGGTGGCTACCTGCCATTCTTCCCTCGCACCCGTGCACGCGGGGCCCTGGGTGCGTGTGGAGGCACACGGGCGCGCACACACGCGCACACACACCGGGAAGCCCGGCTCACGCCCTCCTCGCCCTCCGCCCCTCCGCACTTCCTCCTGTCAAAACGCGGCGCCGACCCTCCCAGCCCTCCAAGCTCCGGAGCAAAGGCAGGCTTTGCAACTAACCAGCAATTTGGCAAATAAAAAAATAAATAAAAATAAAAACGAACGTCATATCTATCGGGGTGCAAGGATGGCCACACAGCCCTGAGGTTCCGCCTATGTCGCCCCATTTTGCAAACCGTTATTCGCCCCTCAATGGGAGGAGGACGGGGGGGGGGGGCAGGGAGCCCCACTTTATTAGACCTGGGGGGAAATAACGATCGGAGTGGCTACCCCGGGCTTTATTGTTCACTCTTTCCCGAAGCCCCAGCTGACAAGCCCCTGACCTGAGGAACCCGAGCCTGTGTGGTGGCTCCGAGGAGCCCCAGCATCCCCTGCCGCCCGCCATCAGGGAAGTAGCGCTGCCCATGGAGATGGGCAGTCGCAGTGTCCCTGGGAGCCGGCGGCTCCGCTTCCATCGCCCGGGCGGGCGGCTGGAGGGGCGCGGGGCGCTAGCTGCGCGGGGAGGCAGCCCGGCTCCACCGCAGCCCGACAGACAGGGCGCGGGTTCGGCAGGACAGCCAGCCAGGGCGATGCGCTCCTTCCCCGGCTCCACTGAGAGGAGCTCCCTTAGCATTCTCTGCAAAAAACACCCGAAATAGCAGTGCCCCTCGGGAGAGCAGTAGGAAGACGAAGGCAATGATCAATTCGGATTAAGAAGAATAATTTTTTTTGAAATGTACCTGCAGTTCCCAGGAAAAACAAAGTCCAGATGAGATCCTTAGTTTGCAGCATTGTAATCTGCTGGCTGGGAAGGGTTGTTCTTGCCGCGGTCAATTCTGTGTCCCCCGCTCCTTGCTTGCAGCGAGTGTGGACGGCGTCGGAGCCACAGACCTAGAGGCAGACAATCGCCGGGCTGAGTATGATTATTTTTGCAGAACTGTTTCCTGCCAGCGGCCGCCGAGCTGCGTTCACGCGCCGAGGGGAGAATGAGTGACAGTCCCAGCCTCAGCACACTCGCCACTCGGAGATCCTTGCGCTGGCCCGGCTTCGCTTTGATGGAACTCGGGATGGGAGCGAGGGGCGGAGGGCGGGGGTGAGAACCTCACTGTGTCCTTCCACCACGCCGGCCACAAATAGTGCCGAGCATCAAGGAGGTAAGAGACCCGGGAGGCAGATGCGGCCGCCTGCAAAACGCGGCCTGGAGCAGCCTGCCCGAGGAAGCGGGCTCTTTCACGCATAGTCCTATAGGCAGGAGCTGGGATTTCTTTTTTCCATCCTTCTCCCCAACGCCTCAGGTCCCTCCTGCCATCCAGCCTTCCATAGTCAGGAGGTTGAATATTTTAATAACTAGCAAATAATAAAAACAAAATTGTAGGTGTCCTTAGGTTTTCAAAGTGTTTTTTTTTTTTTAATCTCTCCATTCGAGATCCTAAAATCCTTGAAACACAAGGAAAGTTTAGGATATATATTTTTTAAATACAGGAAATTAGAAATTAGGAGAGGGATAGAGACTGCTGTTGCAGGGTCTTGTTTTGTTTTTGTTTGTTTGTTTGTTGTTTACATGGGCCATGAAGTTTGCTCTCCTACAGGGAAGCAACAGAGTTCAGGGGAGAGAGGTGGGAAGCAATTTAAGTTAAAAGCAAATGCAGATGTTTAGAAGGAATTTCCAGAAATAACTGAAGGAAAGGGTTTATAAAGGTGGAAATATGTGATCTCTTTATGAACATCCCCAAGTCCTGTTTGTGTAGGTTTTATGGTATAGGCATGGTGTTAACTAGTATTTTCTTGCAAGGACACATAACCTCAATTCTTGAAGATATTCATGTAGAATATCACTGGGGCACCAGCACAAAGTGTTCAATTAGTCTTACAGCTGCGTTTTGAACAGAAGAGGATGGGGAAGCAGGGTGAAAATAAACATGTTTCAGAACCTGAGCAAGCCTTGACTGTTTACGGAACAAAAGGTGAGGGGGGACAGCCTGACATCCCAGCACAGGGAGCCCTCCTGGGGGAAGGCTGCCCAAGTGCCAAGCACCAATGGGTCAACATCCTGGCATACTCACCTTTTCTTCAAAGGGCAGGTCTCCCATTGCTGTGCCCCCTTTAAAACCCATCCTCTGCTGGCCAGTTGGAGCGGCTGGTGTCTCCTCTCCATGTACCAGACCCAGCAGGCCACACAGCACAACCCCAAAAGCATTTCTTGAAAATCAATCTTCCACAATGTTTACTTTTGTAACATTTAGCTCATACCAATTACAAGTAAGTCATAAATACAGAAAAGTAGAAAGAAGGAACTAAATACCAATTACATTTGCATTTTGGACAGAAGATTCCAGAGATACCCACATATTTTCTCAGTCTTTTGTATATGCATATTATTTTTTAAAATTTCTTTATTGATTAAGGTATCACATATTTGTCCTCAACCCCCCCCCCATTCCAATTCCCCACCCCACCCCCACTCATGCCCCCACCCCCCCTATTGTCCTTGACCACTGGTTAGGCTCATATGCATGCACATAAGTCCTTTGGTTGATCTCTCCCTTTTATCCCCACCCTCCCTTTGAGGTCCAATAATCTGACCCATGGCTCCTTATCTCTGGGTCTGTTCTTGTTCAATAGTCTATGTTGTTCACCATTTCCCCTAGATGAGTGAAATCATGTCATACTGGAAATATACTTACAAGAATAAAAAATGAGACAAACAATAATCGTTATGCTGAAAGGCATATTATCAGTCTGTAGTGAGTTTCTTTCTGGGCCACCAGTTCTTTTGAGACCCAATTTCAATGTCAAACAGTCCCTTATGTGTACATGTCAGCAATGATATTTCAGTTCTCCATGGTGGACAAATGGTGGTAATGCAGGTCCAACCCTCTCTGGTTTGGTCCTGGGCAACGTGCTGTGATACACAGCTGCTGTCTGTTATTATGGCAAGGTGTTGTCATCTCTGGAATGCTTTTCTTTTGTCTTCATGGTTGGAATAATCCTGTCAATTCCTCTCTGTTGCCAGAATCCACATGGTCTCAGAGTTGTTTTTTGAAAATATACAAACATTCTCGACCAAAAGTTAATAAAGGAATATTTTCTATAAATTTGACTTGGAATCCTTTTCCATTTTTCGCCCAAATGATTTTCTTCTGGCATGTTTTGACACCACGTGTGTTTTTCATGGGTGTCTTGCTTTAATTGACAGTAGAAGCAACTTGAATCCTGTGTATTTTCCTCAACATTTTATTATAAGCGTTTCCCCGGGGCAGTAAAAAATGTTTGAAATCTTTTTATAGTTATGTAGTATTTTTCCATATCATGGTTATACTCCCCCATTGTTGAATATTTAGATTGTTTCCATAATATAAATAATGCTTTTTAACAACTTTTAATAAATATTTATTGAATATATTATGGTTAGCCCTGTGCTGGGTACACTGGATTATATAGATTTTTTTAAATGGTTGCTTCATTTAAGCATCTTTGACTTCAGATATGAGCTTATGCTAATTATAAAATTACCATATTAAACTTATGTGGACAAGTATTAGATTCTTTCCTAAAGAAGAGGTTTTGATATAGGGGAAAATATAGAGAACAGGCTTGAAGGGAAAGGAAAAAAAATTAAGGCTGGGATACACAAAATATTTATATATTTTTCTAACCTATTCTGAACTTGTACTGAGTGAGAAACACAGTTTTCTCTGCAAATCTCCATTCTTATAGCTCATGTCATTAGAATTGAAAAAAATTCTCACTGTTTTTTTCCCCAAATGTTCTTATTTTTAGCTTTTCAATGTAGGCAGGTGTGGAAATCCTATCTCACTTCCACTTTACTGAATTTCTTTTCTCTCTCCCTCTCTCCTCCTTTGGACACACTAATCCTGAGATGTTCCAGGGGCATCCAAGAGGAGGTGTGCAAAAGACAGGCAGATAGAGAGGACCCCAGAGAACATCAATGTGTACCTCTAAGCAGAAGAAATTGCCAAAGCAATAGTGAAAATGCAGTCAGAGAAATGGAAAGAGAATTGAAACATTATAATGACCAAATCAAAAGGAAAAGAAAGATTTGAAATGGTCAGGTAAGATTATGATTTACAAGTTTCCTGGATTGGAACACTGGAAAGCCAGTAGTGGCCTCTGAGAGAGCATCCTTCCATGGACTGGTGGGGAAGGAAGGACACCACCCCCCCCCGGCCCAGGAGTAGCTTGTCCAGGTAGGAGAAAAGGGGGGTTAGATCACTCTTTTGAGGAGCAGTGTGATAGTGGCAGAGTAATATGACAATGACAAGAACAGAAAGGAGGCCTGAAAGGTTTTGTTTTTCTCTTCTTTTTCAATAAGAGGATTATGTTGTTAAGATATAAAGTTAATTAAGTCAGTAGCTAACACCCCACTCATCACCACCAAAACATTGTGGTCTAATTTAGACTACTTGAAAAATGAACCATTTAAGGTTTCTTTTCTGGCTGTTGAAAAGAAGACCCCAGGCTTGATCCCAGAGCTAACAAATATCCCAAGAACTTCATTTCACATTTGACATAAGCAAAATGCATTCAGGAAAACACAGCAGTTTAAGATCCATCAAAGCAAGAGACAGGAGCCTGGGGTTAGGAGAGACTGGGAATACAGAGACCTGCCTGAAGACTGAGCATGATCCAGGGAAGTGTGAGGACTGGAAGGTAATATTAAAACCACAGAGCTGAAGAGAGAAAGCCTCTAAGGAGCCCTCAGAACTCCCTCCTAGCCTCTCATATCCCAGATCTGGTTGACACCAGAAATGACTGCCAAGTTCTACTAAGGGAACTGACAAGGTTCCCTTCTGCGTCATAGCTGGCTCAGATGTTGGTTAAAGATAAGTGGACACTCATGAGCAGATCCTGCTGAATGGTGCAGAGTTCCCAAGGAGACAGGGGTCAACATAGAACCATTGCTTCTTTGTGCAGGTTGTGCACTGCATGCCTGGAAGGCTCCTTTTGAATGAATCCCTCCTCAAATACTTAAATCCTTGTGGTGACAATTTTTCTAGAAGGTGGAAGGAACAAATCAAGAAAGAGGTGCTGTTTTCTCATCCTTCCTTCCTCCCATCCTCCTTTTTTCCCCTTCCTCCCTCCCTCCCTTCCTTCCTTCCTTCCTCCCTTCCTTCCTCCCTCCCTTCCTTCCTTCCTTCTTCCTTCCTTCCTTCCTTCCTCCCTTCCTCCCTTCCTTCCTCCCCTCCTTCCTCCCTTCCTTCCTCCCTTCCTTCCTCCCTTCCTTCCTCCTCCCTTCCTTCCTCCCCTCCTTCCTCCCTTCCTTCCTCCCTTCCTTCCTCCTTCCTTCCTCCCTTCCTTCCTCCTTTTCTCCTTCCTTCCTCCTTCCTTCCTTCCTTCCTCCTTCCTTCCTCCCTTCCTTCCTCCTCCCTTCCTCCCTTCCTTCCTCCCTTCCTTCCTCCCTTCCTTCCTCCTTTTCTCCTTCCTTCCTTCCTTTCTTCCTCCCTTCCTCCCTTCCTTCCTCCTTTCCTCCCTTCCTTCCTCCTTTTCTCCTTCCTTCCTCCCTTCCTTCCTCCTTCCTTCCTCCCTTCCTTCCTTCCTTCCTTCCTTCCTCCCTTCCTTCCTCCTTCCTCCTTTCCTATCCTCCTTCCTCCCTTCCTCCCTTCCTCCCTTCCTTTCTTCCTTCCTCCTTCCTTCCTCCCTTCCTCCCTTCCTTCCTCCTTCCTTCCTCCCTTCCTTCCTCCCTTCCTCCTTTTCTCCTTCCTTCCTCCCTTCCTTCCTCCTTCCTTCCTCCCTTTCTTCCTCCCTCCCTTCCTCCTTTTCTCCTTCCTTCCTTCCTTTCTTCCTCCCTTCCTCCCTTCCTCCCTTCCTTCCTCCTTCCTTCCTTCCTTCTTTCCTTCCTTCCTTCCTTCCTTCCTTCCTTCCATCTTTCCTCCTTTCCTCCCTTCCTTCCTTCCTTCCTTCCTTCCTTCCTTCCTTCCTTCCTTCCTTCCTCCCTTCCTTCCTCCCTTCCTTCCTCCCTTCCTTTCCTTCCTTCTCTTTCTTCCCTTCCTCCCTTCCTCCCTTCCTTCCCTTCCTTCCTTCCCTTCCTTTCTTCCCTTCCCTTCCCTTCCCTTTCCTTCCCTTCCCTTCCTTTACTTCTCTCTT